CTTTTATGTAGTTTTTTACAAGCTTTCTGATGATGCAAGTTATATTTGTCGCGATTGAATTCAAAATTTCACATTTTTTGTTGTAGTAGAATTTAATAGCAAATAATGCTAATAGCATCGTAACTCCCTAAAAAAAACAGTTTCACGATGGCCCCACTTTTGCATGTTGTTCTACTCATAAAACGATGCTACTGTGCACAATTTGGTGCTTTTACTGTAACCCTCTGCGGAAACATCCATGCACATATCCACCACACTATATGTTTGTGTCAGTTTGTGGTAATCTTCAACACATATGACAAAATATAAGATTTTTATAGCTTTCTGCTTTCTTTCGCGAGCGCTATGAATCTATGATGCACAATGCCGCCAAAATGAGTAATTATTTATTACAATTTTCGGGTGACATCCTTGATGACAAAAATATTACTTGCCCAAGCTCACTATTAATGGTTTAGCAAGAAAAAATATTTTCTTTATCCACAACATGTTTCTGTTCCAAGAAGTAAATGATATTTACATTCATCAAAATTGCTTCCAATGTAGATTGCATCACAGTTAGCTGTTTTGATATCAAAAGTAGCAAGGGTTGAAACAAAGTCCTGGACAGAATTGATGCCGACACTGTTACAGGTATTGCCTATTGGATGATTAATATGGTTGGGTACTTTTGTTTGTATTGTTCATTTTCATTTAGATTATTTATTTACATTTTACAAAATTGTTTGTGATGTTACTCAGAGTGTATATCCACACCGGGCAAGCTTGAAAATATGCCTCAGTGGACACGGTGGGAATCGAACCTACGACCTTTTGAATACTAGCCCAATGCTCTGCCAACTGAGTTACGCGGTCAGGATGGTTCGAGTATGTGATATTTCGGAACTGAGTCTAGTTTCTTGATATCGAAGGAACTAGACTCGGTTCCGAAATATCACCTACTCGAACCGACCTGACCGCGTAGCTCAGTAGCTTTATAGTTGTTATGAATATTTAATGTATGTTCTGAGCCAGAGTATAAAGGTCAGCGTATGACCCACAGAATGTAAACATTATCTCGACCGCCATATTTGTAAAATGTTAGGTACAATTTTAAGTAGAATAAAGCCTATTAAAACTGCATCTTTCGTAGTTTTCTCACAACAATTTATTCAACTTAAACTATGGATAAAGTATTACGTCCTGCGTAGCTCCTGCGTCCGCGTAGCTCAAAGACTTGACAAAACTGAAACTCATTGGATGAAATAAAACATTTTGTAAATATATAATCTAGATGAACTTTGGTGGCGCAATCGTCAGCGCATGCGTCTTTCACCTGTGAGTTCGTGGGTTTGATTCTCGCTACGGACTCATGTGAAAAGAGTCAGTCAACCCTCTGACGAAAGTCGTGGGTTTTCTCCGGGTGCTCTGGTTTCCTCCCACAGGGAAAGTTGACAGGGTGGGTTAGGATAAACACAGTTAAGAAAGTAATATCACAATTGTTGTAAAGATAAAATAGTCTAGGTTCAGTAAGTAATTAGGTAAGAGTAATACTTGATGTAAAGCACATTTGATCATATACACATGCGCTATAGAAATGCTAATCGTAAATTTACGTATAAGATTCAAATGAGCATTTTTCATCTTCAAGGGTCTTCAGAATCCCGATGCAATGTATCGACTGAGGTCGTTGCTTATATTTCAACATGTTGTGAAGATGATGGCTTCGAAAAGATTATGCACGGATAAAGAAAATTTTAGAGAGGTATTTATAACACTTGTGTGAAATTGCTTTCTGTTAAGTAAATCAAGTAATTCAAATGCGTTTCAAATGCGTTCCGTGTGCGTTTCAAATGCGTTTCACGTGCGTTTTAAATGCGTTTCAATTGCGTTTCAAATGCGTTCTGTGTGCGTTTCAAATGCGTTCCGTGTGCATTTAAATGCGTTTCGTGTGCATTTAAATGCGTTTCGTGTGCGTTTCAAATGCGTTCCATGCATGGGCGTTTCAAATGCGTTCCGTGTGCGTTTGAAATGCGTTTTGTGTGCGTTTGAAATTCGTTCCGTGTGCGTTTCAAATGTGTTCCGTGTGCGTTTCAAATGCGTTTCAAATGCATTTCAGTTGCGTTTCAAATGTGTTCCATTTGTTTGGAGTTCGTTAACGTTCCTAACTCGATTTAAATCGTGTTCCATTCAGTAGCGCTCCGATCAAAGGAGAACGCGTTTGCGTTCACGTATTTGCGATGAAAAGTGCACCCGTTCAGCATACATGTACCTCAAGGCGTATTACACATGTTCTCAATTGAGAATATTTGGTATTACCCGTGCCAGACTATCGCTTGCGCTACCTGACGCTGACGCTTTCGCATATCATACATAAGTGATAAACCAATCACAATCGTGTTTCTATCACATGTTCTTCTTCTCGGAGCTGCAGGTTTCTGCCATATTGAAAACATTTCTAGATTTCCACACGTCACGAATTTAACTCAAACAACTTCATTTTTACTGCTCTGAAACTTTTGATGAGAATTAAGATTGAGTTTCAAAACTCAATTCAAGATTGAGTTTTTGGGGCCGTTTTACGGCCTTAAAAAATCCCGAAAAAAACCCCTGTATTTGCGATTCTATGCGATAAAATGGAGGCAGGGAAGAGGACTAGAATAAGCGACAACCAGAGAGATATTTTGGAAAGGTTTTACGGTCGTGGAATGGTCGGTGTTGGTTTAAATTATCGCGAAATGATCGAAAGCGCTGTAGCGGAAACTGGCCTAACAACGATTCAAGTAAAGGTAAATATAGTGATAACATAGTGATGTTAATGACTGTTTACCATGCATTAAGCATACTAGATTTTAACTCCGTCTCGATGTAAATCTTTGTAGAAGTGGATTGGCAATCAAAAGAGGAAAATACCTCATGACGTAATCAGAAAGCAGATGTCGAAGCGCAGAGGAAATTTGCGCAGTCAAATTTGTTGCCATTACTATTACTGTATATCCTCTTTTGATTCTATAAAACGAAATATGTGTTTTGATACGACTCAATGTATCAGTTTAATACATTACTCTGAACACAGTCGCTATGCTATAAAGTACGATATTTTGTCGTAATTTTCCGAAAGCTTGACTAGAGTATGTTCTATATTAATACCTATAAACCATATATTATAAACCATGTATTATAAACAAGATATTATTTGCAATCCAACATTTCAAAAATATTTATATTTTACTGTAGTTTCGACTTTCGATAAGTCGAAGATTTTGAACATTTTAAAAAACAATACTAAAGCTTGTAAAGCGAAAAATATGCTAAACAAAAGTTTAAAAACTGGTTAACAACACACGTCATGCTTTTTAATTTCAACTATATATGTACAATTTAGCCTTCTCCGCAGGCATCGCCTTTCGATTATCGGGCAAAATTTCTTGCAGGCAAAAAAATTAATAGTACAATTGTAAAATGCTATTACTATTATATCCTCTTTTGCACTGATTCTATAAAAGCAAATATGTGTTTTGATACGACTCAATGTATAAGTTTAATACATTACTCTGCATGAACACAGTCGCTATGCTATAAAGTACGATATTTTATCGTAATTTTCCGAAAGCTTGACTAGAGTATGTTCTATATTGAAATGCCTATATAAACCATATATTATAAACAAGATATTATTTGCAATTCAACATTTCAAAAATAGTTATATTTCACTGTAGTTTCGACTTTCGATAAGCCGAAGATTTTGAACATTTTGAAAAACGATACTAAAGGTTTAAAAGTGAAAAATATGCTAAACAAAAGTTTAAAAACTGGTTAACAACTTACGTACTTTTTAATTACAAGCACGTACAATTTTAAAATGCTGGTGTCGTTCTTTTCAAAATAAGCACTCAAGTCTCAAAAATTATTTCGCCCAATAGGTTTTTCAGGGGCTTTTGTATCCGATCCGATATTATTATCCAAGTTGATAAATGCAGTACTTTTGGCATCAAGAAAGCCATCACAAAATCAGTTAAGTACTTGCCAAAATTTCCTATAAACAGTACACTAATAGAGTCATTTCATAATACTTAGAACATCACTTAGTTTACATGTAATAATGATCACAAAACAGAATTAACCAGCCTCGTTATAATGAACTAATGAGTAATGGCTGATGTTGACTCAAAAAATAAATTGTTTGTGTACAGTCGTGTATATTTTTATTTCACCCGTTACAACACTATGAAAATATTTATTCCATAAATAGTACATATATATTAGGTACAATAAATAGTAAATATTTATATAATAATTTGTGACTATTGATGTAGCCAATTGTAAATTATCTACATTAGTGAGATTTACAATTGTAAGTATAGGTTAAAAATACCATCAGTAAAGTTTTCATCATTTTATTGTCGTTGATTTAGTACACTATATAAATCTACAATATAGTTTAATAATCTCTAATAAACTGCGTTTTAATAATTTCTTTTCGAATCATGCACTTTCTGTTTCTGTCGCTTTTCACAAGACTTTGTATGTCTCACCACCATTTTCTGCTTTGATAAAAAATTTCCACGCCGAATCTGAATAATGGCCAAAGAATAAGAATAAAGGATGCGATGCTGTATCGTAAACCATGATTTTGACAATATCAGGGTGTTCGTTTTTATACGTCACCATATATTCCTGCGCAGCAGGATCAGGACTTGAATGATAAACACGGGCTTTCAACTTGTAACCCTCATCAACATTTCCCATAATATCGTCCACAGTATCACTTTTATGTTTGAGATTATCTTTGCCGTTGTCCTTTTTCGCGTTCATGTTGCTGTGTATTACCAGAGGCTTGTCAGGTTTATTCTTATTAATGGCCACGAAGATATCACATCCACTAAGTGAAGATGTAAAAAACCATCTTGCTCTGTTTGGGTCCAAAAACATAAAGGTATTCATGTCTTCTAGAAATTTAAGAAAGAACGCTTGGAACTGGAGATCATCTTGACCGTTTGACGGGCATTCTTTAAAATCTTTATTCTCGTGGTCGCTCTTTGAAATAACGTTGATGTCCGTGTTTTTGAAATTGTCAAGGCCTACGCGGCAGCTGTCTTTTGGAATAACTTCTATGCCAATGGTTCCTGACTGGATTTTTGACTGGATTTTTGACTGGATTTCTGACTGGATTTCTGACTGAATTTCATCACCACTCTGCGGATTATACTCATACTTGTCGCCGTTCTCTTTAATCGCAAACCAAGTGCTAAACTGTTCGTAAGCCGGAAATAGGTGACATTCATATGACACGGCCAACACAGTTGCTTTTTTTCCTTCCCCTAAAAGATTTTGCAATGCGTTTCTTTCCTGCCTTTTACCACAGGAAAAAATGCCACCGCCAGCGGACCTCATCACGGCAAAATTCAGGAAAACAAGGACGAAAAAAAATAGAACAGCTTTCATGTTGATAGTTAAATACAAGTGTCACTGCTTCTACTGATATCAGTGCAATTGTGCATGTAAATGAAATGCAACTGCTGGTGATCACGACTTTTTAGGTTACCAGAGCCAACAGGTTGTTTGACATTTGCATTATGTTATTAAGGGATGATCTATAATAGACCTCAATATGGCCACCACTCAATAAGGCAATCTGAACTACGCTTCATTGACTACGGCAATAGAGAGCTTTAGATTTGGCTACTGGTACGACTACGAGATTCGTTATTTGGATACGCCGTCTCCTTATTATTAAGCGATCTTTTGCTACATCAAGTGGTTTAAGGCAGTTTGCCACTAGGCGGAATTTTCCGCGCGGAACGGAATTTTTCTTTGCCTTTTCTAATTAGTTCCACCCGAGTAATCTGGGGCCGGTTGTATAAAAAAGTGATTAAAGTTAGTCATAGTTAAGTGCAAATGTCATCCAATAAGAAGCTATTTGAGAGTTAATCACTATTTAACTACAAAATATGATTAAAAAAGTGATTAAGAGTTTTATACAACCGGCCCCAGAAGACAAAGAAAAATTTGGCTCCGCGCGCAAAATTCCGCCTAATGGAAAACCGGCTTTATAAATCTCGTTGCCGTCGCGAAATTGACAACTGGATTTTTAAAAATCTCCTAAAGCAAAACTAGCATCTACTACGCCGAATTATTGCGTGCGTACAAAATGGCGTAAAAACGTGGCGAGTATTTTCAAATAACGAATCTCGTATAGTCGTAAACGTGCTCGTTGTCAAATCTAGAGCTCTCTAATGCCTTAAAAACGAAGGTCCCTTGGTAAATTTAGCACGATTAAGCCTCGACAGGTGTAATTGTTCTTGTTCGTTAAAGCATTGTTCGCCGGAAATTGTCTATTCGTTCTCAACAGGGTGTCTAAATCACTGAAGTGATTAATTTACACCTGGTTAATTTACACATAAGATAAGATGATAAGATGGTTTAATGAA